TCACCGCTTACTATCGAAGCCTGACAGTCCTGCCTCTGCCTTCGCATTCTGTCCGTCGAATAAGAGCGTCGCCTTGACTGCACACAAACTGATGATTGACCATGATATTTTTATCAATGCAGCTTGATGCCAAACTCGATCATACCTTACACCTCCGATTGTCGAGGATCTGAACGCGTCCAATGAGCTGGACGCGACCTGCATCAGTTACCTAGAGGCTAGCTCTCGAGGACAATGTTCACATGACCACGAGCAGTACAGCTTAGTAGACGCATGGCGATGACATTTCATCTGTCCCTCTTTCCGCTCCGGGGTGTCCGAGTGGACATTAAGATAGACACGACTCTGACAATTCAAACGACCTAAGAGAATATGTGTCGGGTGATTCCATCTACGCGTCGCTGCGTGCCATCAGAAACTTGGATCTGATGGGCATGTCGCGCCCAACACCGCCAGATCATAACTCCATGGGAATACTTCGGGTTAATTCTATCTTGGAAGTTCAAGCCGCTCCTTCAGGGGCCAGTACTCGCCTTGCCTATCATATTTTCAACGACCGCTGATGAATATCAAAGATATGCAACTCGTGCATACATGTAGAAGCCCAACACTGCATTACAGCAAGGCACTCCTCGACAAACAGATCGGAATCTTCATGGAAACAACGACATTGGCTTCGTTGTAACGCTTGACACTTGATCGTTGCTCATGACAGAATTCTCAAATGTCATATGCCTCCAAGGTAGACTTGGGTACCCTGTCTCTGGGCTTTCCTGCTTTACCAACAGTGTCTGACCTCACGAGCAATAGTTTTGAAGGACGCCAATTTAGGTTGCATCTCCCTCGCGTGGGGTACCCTGTCACTGTGCCCCCTGTTACAGATATCAACTCTTGTTTGCAATACAGTAACACTAGACTGATACATCTTCCTACGCGTTCCAGATTCATTAAAGGCTATGTTGACGCCAATTGTTCGTTACCAACTGTCAAAAGCTGATGACGTCGATTACTGACCATTGCACCCTGGTGTACACCTAAGTACGGAATATAGAAAGTAATATCTGAGATCAATCGTCTGTATCGAATTCAGCTGCCTAATCTCACAGTCACAGCGAGCAAGGAATTTGCTTGCATTTCTTTTTCATTCTACCCGATTTGTCTACATCTTCGATGTAATTTCCATTTGCTTGGGTGGCTCCAGATCTCAACTGCATCCAGCCAGTCCCTATGCAGTAGTGGAATCTGAGGTAGTCCACTTGATAAGATTTGAGGTGTATGACTGTAATAATACCACAAGAGGTGCCTCATGAATATAAGTGATCCATAATGACCCGTTTAGTGTTCATTTTCGCCCAAGACTAAAGATCTGCCTCAGTGCCAAAAGGTAGGTAGCTTGATTCCAGTCCCCTGGTACCTTCCAGCGCCGACCCGCTATTAGCGTAATGGAGTACTGGACAGTCGGATAACCTTTTGACTAACATTACTCGACATATTATAAGTAATTTGGAATAAGCACAGAAGAATGCCTCTATCTATGTTATTGGATGGTGCGAAATGACCTAGAGTATGAAAGAAGTTATATCAATTAACAAGATTTATTTGATGACGACTTGATCACTTTCCATTTGATGTGTTTGAGATAGAGCGGAGCGAAGGCTGTATTCTGATCAAGGCTACAACATAAATCATTCCGGCATGGATATAAAGAGCATAGCAGTGGATAAGCTTTGGAGAACCTGTCAAGAACTCCATCTCTGGCGACTTTTGATTGTCCATCATAAGTTCTTAATGCTCCTGTTAATTGTGATTGTGTGATCATACTTCCAGGCTTCACACGCTAGGTAGTAACTTATTGACCTATTACTGAACAGTACAGTAAGAAAGATCGGAATTCAGCCGCTACCTTCTTTAACTGTCCTTACTACTACTCCATGTAATCACTACTATGTGGGAGTTGACTGCTCAAACCTTAGTATTCGACCCACTTATTTAGATGGCATGACTGATATACTTTCGACCAGTGTACTCCGTACGGAGTAAACTAAAGATCAATAATAAGATTATGAGACAGTGCCCCCTCTCTTTTTCCGGTCCTTTCGAAATTTTATTGAGCTTTTGGTTTTAGTTTCTAATTTTTATTTTGGCCCCCTTTCATAGCTCCCTTCCTGTCTCATTTCTGGAGATACCCCCTTCCTCCCTGAAATGTACATATCTGGCTTCCGGTCCTTGGCCTGGCTGACCGCTTTTGGTGGTAGCACACAGCGATACAGGTACACCGCATCTCTATTGTCACTTCCTGGAGACATGAGCTTGCTTTCCCCTTTTCTCTATTGGTGCTCTTTCTCCTTTTCCGTACAGTACCAAACAAAGGAAGCCAAGAAGATTGCATTGAAAGCAAAGGAAGAATACTTGCATGTATCACTCAACTTCCTCTCAGGGATGTTGAGAATGCAGGATCTCAAGATTGATATGCATGTCATGAACAGCAATACATCATTACCCAACTTCTTCCTACCAGTTGATACATCCCAACAAATGGCGGTTAAGAAAATTAGTCCATGGTTTCCTATTGAATTCCAGTATGGACTATCGAGTACAAATCGCCCCGGGTTCCGGTGAACTAATTATCCCAAACTGGGGAAGAGATTATTGGACTAACATACTCCATACTCCAAACGCTATTTGTCTACTCCGTATGCAGACTGGGAGACAAACGCTAAACTGGCTACAGAAAGGGGCAGCAAAAAGACCATCTGAAAGTGGGTGGGCTCTAGTGGGTACTAAATTGCTAAATGAGATCTATCATCTTGACTAAGTCTCACTAAAACCATACTCTTGGAAAGCCGATCATCCATGCCTTATGGGTCTCTTTTAGCGCGCTTCTAGATACAACGCCTACTGCTGTTCCCCGGAGCCCGGGGCTCAGGTCCATGGGTCATTGGGCCGACCGTTCAATTCTGCGTCGGCGGCTCTCGACTGGGGGCAATTTGGACAATTTGTTCACTTCTTTTTCCTTTTTTTTCTGGTTGATTATTATTATTATTATTTATTATTTTTTATCAGCTGTAGGATTTTGTTTCATTTTCTATTAGATACTGCTTTTTTTTTACAGTAATTTGTCCATACTTTATTAATCATATTTTATTCCCGGCTTTCTTTTTCCTTTCATTTTTTATTATTTTTTTTTTAAGTTGAATTATGCGAATTTCTTATCTGCCCTTTTTTTCCTTTCCTTTTTGTCTGCCCCCTGTCTTCCTCGTCAGGGATCAGGAAATCAAGACCGCTCTTTCGATCAGTGGATTATCAGAAGGATCCAGGAGCAACGGAGCCTTTTTCCAGGCCCTGCTGTCCGGAATACGGACTTACGTCGTAGACCTATAGCCTTTTACGAAGCTCTAGTTACCCGAAATGGAATCCGGACTGATTGTCTTCGGGTTGAGTACCTGTGGATCGAATTGATTGACTGGAAACTGGCTGTTAGAGAGCGGCTGCTATTGGATCCACATCCCTTTCGCTTTGCCCTTCATTATTGTCCTTGGTACGGAGAATTTGTTTCTAATCTCTGTCATTATTTTTCTCTCTTTCGTCAAGTCTAGTTGCTAGCATAGGTCATTATTTGCCTGTGTATGTAGGACCCAGTCGGATGCCCCCAATCCTATTGCCCTTTTCCTGCTGTACGTGTGTCTATCCACTAGAGACATCATAGCTTAAAATCAACAATATGAATGTGGATCCTATGTGCTAGTGTTCCTTGACTGTTTGCTGTTGACTGCGTCCTGCATCATCCTCTGTAGTCTGTACAGCTGTAGCCGAACTGGGCTCCATTGTGATTCTTTCTGTCCCAGATGCTGAACCGTTGACGTTTTACCTTTTCCCTTTTTGATTTCTTTTTTGTTTGAATCTTAATTCTTATTTTTTTTATTTTCCTTTATTGATTTTTTAGCTTGTCTTTTCCTAAATGATTATTTATTATTTTCGCCTGATCAATGATCACATATCTTCTTCCTCTTATCCACATCAGATACTTCATTTAATTCCCCTTCCCGTCCAGATCCTCCCTTGAAGATTATCTCTTCTCTCTTCTTCTGCTTATAATTAAGCTCTTGCCTTTATTCCGACAATATCTCCTTCTTCTATCCTTCCATTGTCCCATTGAATCCTCCGACTTCATTGTTCTGTCTTCACCTCATCTCTGCCTTCACCTTCTACTACCCCACACATCTCCATACCACGTCCTCCCCCAACAGCTCATTCTTCTCTTGGTGTTGAGCTTTGTTGCGCTCTAGTCTACAACTACAAGGAGCCCCCCCATAGTTCCAAGCAAAGTCACTTTGTTCAGACTCCCTTGTAGTGAACTCGAGTGATCGAGGTCAGTGGAACGGGTGCCAAAAGGAAGGGAGACGACAGAATACAGACGACAAACTTGAAAGGAGGAACATCTGGAACGAATTGAAAAGAAGGAAGCAATGCTGAAGTTCCTCTAACAAGAGGTTCCTTCTTCTTCTTCTTCTTCTTCTTCTTCTTCAGGCCCGCAAGCTCATCCCAATCGCATTCAATTTCTCCTAGCCTAGCGGCGACATTAGGGCGACACATTGCTCTCGCTGTCGGCCTCTTTTCGATTTCTGACAGAAAATAAAAAGACCACGGCACTCTGCTATAGCCATTCCCGTTCTCCCTTGGCCCGAAGACATTTCTGGTTCTGAGACGACGAGATGTTCAAACGGCCGTCGTTCTTACAACGCCAGCGGCATAATGGTGGGCGCGATGATTGGTCCGCCTTTCCTGTGCGCCAGCTTTTTGTGCTAGGTATGTTCTCCCTCAGTCGCTCTGCTTAGTGCCCAATCTCGATGAGAATGATGGGTTCATGTATGACAAACATGGATCTGTGCGTCTTTATTGGAGCAAACATTTCTTCACTGCAGTTAAAATTTCCTATTGGATCTTCAGAATGACTGACAGCTTTTCAAGCACTATGCCGCATCTGCGAGCCAATTGCATTCATGTCCATTTTTCCGTATGTCTACCACATGGTAGAGGCATTCAAGGTGACAGATAATGATCGCAAAATCGCTCTCTATGCCGGCCTGATCACATCCTCGTTTACTTTCGCAGAATTCTCGGCAGGCATGTTCTGGGGTCGGATGAGCGACAAGATTGGTCGAAAGCCTGTTTTGATTATGGGTCTGATTGGAACAGCTATCAGCATGATTGTTTTCGGATTCGCTCCGAATCTGCCAACCGCCATGATTGCTCGAGCGCTTGGGGGTCTCCTCAACGGAAACATCGGAGTTCTTCAAACGACGGTTGCGGAGATCGTGACTGTCAAGGAACATCAACCTCGGGCTTACTCGATCATGCCATTTGTTTGGTGCTTGGGGTCGATCATAGGACCAGCTATGGGTGGTGCGTTGGCACAGCCCTGCCAGAATTATCCCGGGTTGTTCCAGCGCCATACAATTTTCGACAGCTTCCCATTTCTGCTGCCCAACCTCGTCTGTGTTGTCGTCCTGGTCTTTGGGGTTATCGTCGGCTTCTTGTTCCTTGAGGAGACTCATCCGGAGAAACGATACCGCCGTGACCCTGGTCTCGAGCTGGGCAACTGGCTCGTCGCCCAATGCTCGGGCTCCCGCGTGCAACTGACAGAGGATAACACGGACATCAAAGTGGAAGCCAACGAAGCTGACTATTTCGACTACGGCGATGTCCCCCCACCAGAGTACAGAAGCACTGAAACCTCACCTCAGCTGGCCCCGGTCAAGAATGTGGGTGCTCTCTCAGATGATGACGACATTGAGGGTCAGGTCAAAGGCGAACAATGCGGGACACCTAAAGCTTTCACAAAGCAGGTGGTCTTCAACATCATCGCGTATGGTATTCTTGCCTAGTAAGTTGGGACCAGTTCTTATTCCTACGACGATCGATTTCAGTTTTCTGACAATCTTCCAACAGCCACAGCGTCTCCTTTGATCAACTTATGCCCGTTTTTCTCAGCACCCCTAAATCCGACGGTAACGTCGTCCTGCCGTTCAAATTCACCGGGGGACTTGGTCTTCCCACCAAGACGATCGGTTTTATGCTCGCAGTACAAGGCGTTTACTCTATGATTGCCCAACTTTGGCTGTTTCCTTTCGTCGTTCGCCATTTTGGAACACTGCGAACCTTCCGATTCGTTCTGCTCGTTTGGCCACCACTCTACTTGCTCGTGCCATACCTCGTCCTCCTGCCTTCAATACTGCAGACAGCAGCAGTCTACTTGGCTCTCATCTGCAAAATTACTTTGCACGTCATTGCGTTTCCCTCTACTGCTATTTTGCTTGCCAATGCTGCTCCATCTTCCAAGGTTCTCGGTTCGATCAACGGTGCTGCCGCCTCGACTGCGAGTCTCAGTCGCGCCTTGGGACCAACAATCACGGGTCTGTTGCACTCCAAGGGCCTCGAAAGCGGCTATTCGATTATCGCATGGTGGGCCTGTGGCATCGTTTGCGTTACCGGTACCATCCAAAGCTTCTGGATGGAGGAGAGCGAGCCGCGGAGAGACACCGAGAAGGCTGGCAACAGTGACTCGAGTGCAGGAAACCCTATGCGGAGCTCCTTCACTGCAGGCAAAGAGTATGCCACACCCGAAGAGGAACGCAGACTGCTCTCTTCTACGCGGACAAGTGTCGATGATTTGGACATTGCCAACCTGGATTTGACGCAAGTCGAACCAGCAAGCCGGTCGAATCAATTTGCATTTGCCGAGGACTGAAAATGATGCCATGCATTAACATGCGCTAGATTCTGCTTTTTTCCTCCTTTCCCTTCATAATGCATCCTCGTCAGGCATTATACCATTTAACTATGAACGTGTGGCCGGGTGGTGTCGACATGCTCCACTCTCCCTTTTTTGCTGCTTCGCTGTTGTCTCTTTCCTCTGTTTCGAGCCATGCATTTCTCATCCGTTTTCCCTCTCTTATTCTAGAGCATGATTCCAAGATGGGTGATGGCGCAGTTTTCCTTTTTTTTTATAGATTGCATGCATTTCAGAAGCGCGGGGGTCTTGTCTGTTTTTCTTGTCTTTTGTTCGGGATCATCACTATGGGCATCATCGGGTACACATCATGTCATGCATCTGGGCGGCTGTTGTCATTTATATCATATCCTAGCACCTTGAGCGCTAAATCCACTTTCTATTGAAGGGAAGACTGCAGTCGGCCCTCCTTTCTTTCCGGTCACCGAAACTACCTCCAATCTGATACCTGCCTGTGCTGACTGGTAGTGCTCGATACAATAGTCGTCTTCCGCTCTATCATATTTATCCGAAGAAATGATCTAAAGGTTGGAGATGTCGGATAACTTGAGTGGAGCAGGCCAGGCTTGAATCTATCCATCCCGCCTGTCTCCGTAATCAATTATATATCACGTGACGATGGAATGCGGGGTTAGCGGCAAAGTGTCTGGAAAACGCGTTGCCTGTACCAATATTTGGGGCTGCGGATTGACCTACTAAGTGACTGTATCCAACGGCTATTCAAAATCGCTCAAGGATGCTTCAACTGCTTCAATCGGTATGATAAGGACAATGGTAGTCGCAGAATAAGCTACAAAATATTTTAGTACTGCTGTTTTAGACTTATCAACAGCCAATCATCTCCGAGAATTTTTCCTCCTCACGTGGGGCAGCAGTTCGGCTACTGTCACACATTGTTACCAAGCAGTACCTAGGTACGACCTTTAGGAACAGAGAGAAGGAGCAGGAAGTCTTGCAGATCCTCCTATTGATATTCAGGCGATAACCAATTGTTTCAGTTTGCTAGCTCTACAATTCACTGGTGCTGTTTGTTGAAATTGAATACGGAAGAGTGCTTAGCGAGGTGGTATTCTCCATACGTACGTACAGCATCGGCCGCTAAAGTCCCAAGGTAAAGAGTCTCGACCCCACAGTTTGTCCTATCTCCAACCTTCAACGTCGACATTTTCCCCCTTCGACCTCCAGTATTTCCAATTCCACTTTTTCTTCCTTATTCTGTCTCTGGACACTTCTTCTGGCCGTGAAAAGTCATTTCCGACATGGTTTGCGACTTTGCCCTGCGACCAAAACAGAATCGACCTTTGCCTTGACTGTCATCTCGGAGACTAAGGAAGCCCGCGGATCGGGATACAACTGAGGAGTAACTTTCCCGTGCGACGCGATTTCGTTTATCGAAGCGAAATAGTCAGCTGCAAAACGGCCAAAATCATCAAGCCGTATGACTTAACATGAATGCTGATTCGTCTCGGAATCTTCGGCACACTACATCCTCGTTTCACTTGACTTGCGACAGACCTCCGTTCTCGAGACATGGTTGTCGCACCTCTGCGCCCCTTCTCCCCGTCTCGCCTTTCCCGTCATGTTGAACCCTGCTTCCCCGGCCTCGCCTACCTCCCTTGGGAGGAAACGACCACACCCTCCCGCTGAGCCTTCCTCAACCCAACCGCAGTCTGCGGCGCAAGATCAGCAGCAGGCCTCTCGCGATGGCGCTGCGAAAGCACCACTGGCTACCATGACAACTTCCTCAACCTCGTCTTCCTTCCGTAATGTCTCCGCCTGCAACCGATGCCGGTTGCGCAAGAACCGCTGCGACCAGCGACTCCCCCGGTGTCAGTCCTGTGAGAAAGCCGGTGTCCGATGCATCGGGTATGATCCTATCACTAAACGCKAGATTCCGCGCAGCTATGTCTATTTCCTCGAGGCCCGCGTGGCTTATCTGGAGAAAACTTTGAAGGACCACCAGATTGAGTTCAAAGAGGCTGTGGCCTTTGATGAAGAGGAGGCCATCAAAGTAGAGGCCGGGTACGATCAGGCTCAGCCGCAGATGGCTAGCTCGGAAGGGTCGGTGGGTGCCGAGACCTCGACCACCACTGTTGTGGAAAGTGACAAATGGGCTCGGCAAAAGGGAGAGAAGGCTGCGCTAGTTCAGCGATCGGGCAGGAACCCGGAGAGTGAACAGGATGCGGAGAACAGCCAGGAGTATGAAAAGGAGGACAACTGGCGCATACATAATCTCGTGTCGAATATTGGCATGGTATCGGTGCAAGGGACTTCTGATCCACGGTATCTGGGGTCGACTTCAGGAATATCCTTTGCCCGTGTCGTCTTCGCTGCGGTGAAGAGCTCCGTTGCCGGCAACGTCGCAGAGCGCGGACCTATGCGGCCCACTGAACGCTTGCCGCATAGTGCCACAGGTACCGCAGGGAGTACCATGCGGGATTCGTTTTTCGGCCTTCAAACAAGGCCAATGATGAAGTGTGCGGCATTCCCTGATCGAGAATTGGCGGAGAAGCTTGTCAACCTTTATTTCGAGCATGCAAACCCGCAGATGCCTATTCTCCACCGAGAGGATTTCATGGAACTCCTCGATCGGACATACTCAGTCGAGGAGAAGGACCGCTCTTCTCGCAGTCTTTATACCCTGAATATTGTCTTTGCCATTGGCGCAGGTATCATATTCGAAGATAAAGCCAGCTCAGATGATGAGGACAACAAGCAAAGCAACCGCAGCCGCTCACACTCGTCGTCCACAGCAAAAAGGCCGCGGCTTTCCAGCCATCAGTATCAACCCGAAGAGTACCATGCCTCTGCCATTATTCATCTGGAATCTTTCATTGGCGCTTCGTCATCGAACGACGGGTTCGGTGCGCTGGAAGAGCTGCAAGCCGTCCTCCTATTGGCCAGCTTTGCCCTTCTTCGGCCTGTTGCGCCGGGCCTTTGGTATATTGTTGGAGTCGCTATGCGGCTAGCAGTTGATCTTGGTCTTCATTACGAGGACGGAGCGGGTATTGACTCGGTTGGCGAAGAGAGCCTCGATCGTTCGTCTACCAAGGGTGAGAACAAAGCCAAGCCGCGGATACATACTAGCGAGCGTGGCCGTCGAGAATGGGTTCGCGATCTTCGCCGGCGATTGTGGTGGTGTGTTTACAGCTTTGATCGTCTCGTCAGTTGCTGTGTTGGTCGCCCTTTTGGAATCAGTGATCAAGCTATTAGCACTGAATTTCCGTCCCTATTCGAGGACAAGTACATCACCAAGTCCGGCATTGTTACGCCACCCGAAGGCGCCACTAGTTACAAATATGCGGCACACCATTACTTCAAGCTGCGGGTGCTGCAATCTGAGATTCAAGATGTCCTTCAGCATCAACAAGCCCGATTCGTGCGTCAAAAGGTTCCTTATTCGGCAAATACGGTTATACGTTCCGACCTTGCGTCTCCCTTCCTTCAAGGGTTCGACTCATTCCGCTCATGGCGCAGAGATGTTCACCGGCGATTGAGGGAGTGGCAGGAAAGCGCGCCCACCCGTAGAGAAACAGGCGTGCAGTTTTCGGTGGAGTTTCTTGAACTCAATTACTGGCAGGCCGTCATCATGCTCTACCAGCAGAGCTTGACAGTTCCTGCGGAATTAGCCACAGAGCTGACACCGGCGGACGATGTATCCAGCCCGTCATTCTCGAATGTGGACGAAGCTGAAGACGAAGATGACATATACTATAAGGTTGCAGAGGCAGGGCAGAAAGTTATCCGTATATATCGCCAGATGCACCGTGTCCGACTAGTGAACTATACATATCTTGCAACACATCATATATTTATGGCGGGTATGGTGAAGTCCCTCGCTCCATTTTACGTCGCTGCTTACACTGTTCTAGGTATCTCATTTTTGTATGCGATATGGCACTCACCTTTCGTGAGAAGTCGCTTGGTATGAATCTCACGGCTCAACAGGAAGCAAGATAACAGTTAACTAATTCGGTTGTAGACATTAGACGAAGTCGATTTCACTGTGCTTGCCGCCACATCTGTGCTTGGGGACTTGATGCACAAGTGTCCCCCGGCAGAAGCTTGTCGGGATGCCTTTGAACGAATGAGCAAAGCCACTGTTCAGATGAGCTTATCGACTACCGGATTTGGATCTCAGGTTGATTTATCTGGAATTAAAACATCATCTCAGCAGCATCATGGTTATATGGGCCCGACGAGGAGTTCTGGAAGATCCGGTTTGGAGCAACGACAGCGCTTTACTCATGTCCCTCGGCGGCAGACGCAGGTACGCCAGTCTCGACCGCTGCCAAAATTCGACATGGATCTTGGCGATCTCTTCAATGACCCGGGGCCCGTTCCGGATCGCCCTGGTAGCGGTGCGAGGAAGTCGGCACAGACGTATCCAATGCGGGCCGAATACCCAGAGCCGTCGACACCGAACTTTGGCTCCGACCTTCCACCCCGGCCTCATCCTCAACGAACACCATCTATGGAGTATTATGGAAGCTACGAAAACCCTGTCTCTCCACAGACACAGCAGCAACAGTATTTCTATAGCAATTCTCCGCAGCATAGCGTATCTTCAAGCGGCGCGGCCCCCAATGCGGGCCACCCTCAATTTTCGGCGGCGGACCAAGAGAATGCGGCAGGGATCAGCCTCGATTTTTTGGACTTTGAATCCACAGGGGCGGAGAACACAGTTTCCGTCGGCTCAGACGGTAATCCCGAGTATAACATGTCAACCGTACCCTCGCTGGGCCACGGGGCTGGCCACAGTGTTGGAATCGACCTCGGATTCGGCATGGCGGTCGACTTCCAGCATGACTGGAGCGAGAACGCCAATTACGATATGCTCGAAGGTTACTTCTTCGGGGGATCTGTGGGAAATCCACCAGGCGATGGGTCAGTCTGAGGTTCTTGTCTCCGTTCCTCTTTCCTTCGTGTTTTCTTTGAAAGCATCTTGCTTGCGGGTC